TGCCAGTGTGGCACAGCACAGTGCCAGTGTGGCACAGCACAGTGCCAGTGTGGCACAGCACAGTGCCAGTGTGGCACAGTGCAGCTCTTTCCTTAAGTTCACCAGTGCATGGAAAATACTCCACCATGTCACTCAGTGGAATTAGGAGAAGTGAACATGTCAAATCTCAAAATGTTTGTTGGTCACTGAGATGAAGAAAAAAATCCCAGCACAAAGCACCTAGGTTACATCACACGGTGTCATGTGACTTCCCCATTTATACTGCACAATACAGAATCATCGGTAGAGGTTTACTGTATGTAAACACTATTCAACTAGCGTGCAGGTATTTGGGGGTGGGGGTGGGGGGGCTATAGGACAGCCGTAACGATGCCTCTGATGCAATAACATGCTGAAATTTCAATCAGCTTAGAAGAACACTGACTAGAGTTCTGCGTCAGAGGTTAGTTTATTAAACACACACACACACATATCAAAAAGCTCTTCATGTGTTTTTTTTAAAACTATGTTCCATAAACTTTCCAGCCAGCAACCACTCAAAAGTCACCTGTGGTAAAACGTCACACCAAGTAAAAAGAGACAATATAATTGGATGGCTGTTTAAGTATTCAACTTAAAAAAGTTAAAAGAGTTATGCATTCATCCTTTTTTTACATCCCTGAGGCAGCTATTATTCAGAAAGAGAGTCCAACATCACAATTACTCCTTAAAACCAAATATTTTAGAGATCAGTGTTAAATGTAGCATGTGTGTGATTTACACTGAACTCTTCTGAACTCTCCTGCATTCACCTCGGTTCCAACCCTCATGTACAGAGTGATGAACTATGAAAAGGAAACACGAAGTGTCAGGACCAGTTTTGGCGAAAAACACCTATGCGGCGTTTCCTCCACCCCCATTGCCAGCCCACCCCACAACCGGTTTACCAGTAACTAGTTAATCTGGTTTATGTGAGCCAATGTAGAAATTTCAATATGCAAACATGCTTCCTTCAATATACTGCAGGCAGCACTGCACACCTCCCACTGAGGTCCTGCAGGGTCTCAGACGGGCTGCTTTTGTGGCCTTGACTCTATTATATCTTTACATAAGTAATCGTTTCATCATTTGAATACGAGAAACAAGTGTTGAGTTTCCCGGTTTGACCAAAACACTACAAGAATGGCAAAATGATTGTATGGTTACTTCCTTCATACGATCATCACAGCCCCTACTGACTCTTTAAGATATAATGTTTACACACCAAACTCCCAGACCGAGCATAACAATTCATGTGATTCTTAATCAATAGCGCATTATGGTCTAAGAAGTCAGCAATAATCATTATTAAAACTTCAAGGAAAATAAAAGATAAAAAAACAACTTAGGTAAATCTGGAGTTTGCAGAAGTGTTCATGAAAAATAAAAAACTTCATCTTTTCATTTATTTAATATTTGTTCTTTAGTACATATTACTGGCATAGCTTTGGCTTATGATTTTTTTGCTATAAGGTGTCCTGAATGGAAAATTTACATATAAAATTTCACTTACGTAAGGATTTCTGAAACGGATTACTTATGTCAGTCACTAACTAGCCCTACTCTGGTTCCCTCCTACAGACAACAAATTTGATGTATGTATCTCTTAATTGCCCACAGTCTCTGAATGGATGGCTGTATGTTTCCAGTTTAATTTAACAAATGTCCTTTCCAACATCAATCATGATTCTGAATAAAATTGATACGTGAACTACACATATCTTCCAGAGCTCAGAGATGGTTTGTATCTTTTGAGGTACAGTGCCGTTTCTACACTGCAGGTAGCAAAACAAAATACCACTGTCAGGGCACATTTTTTTCCAGTTACAGATCCCTGGCTCAGATATAACTCACTGGAAATTCAGATTTTGCCCAAGTCAGATGCTAATTTTCTTATAAGCTGTGACGTTTTTCACTATTACAGCTCCAAGGCTCAGAGAACTCTCACCGAAAAGCTCAAAGAGAGTAGTTTTTCAACTTCAAAGTCTTTTTTCAAGGTCAAAGTTCATTCTGTAAACTGCATTTTTTTAAAATTGCTTTTCGCTGTAAAAAATAATGAAGGGCTTGGAGTAACAAGTCAATTATTTTACAGTGAAATACACATGTATGTTTAACAGATATGTACCAGTGTAAAAAAGTGTACAAGTTTTTTAATTTAAAAAATAAATAAATAAATAAATAAATAATAATTTCTGAGCCTCATAAAGCACGTGAGGGGAGGAGCACATTTTTTCACGTAATTAGGAAGAAAGTAGCGCTTTACCTGCTTTCTGACATGTTATTTAAAGAGCAGTGGGAGCCACACGGCTGAGCTTACAAAAAAAAAAAAAAACACTGAAACCACAAACTAATTCTCTCAATCTCTCTTCATGCACCTACAGTATTTTATAAAGTAGCCTGTAGTGTACCTGAGGTAACCCAGTGTAGCTCGAATCGTGTGAAGTGGTTTGGTGGACTTTTTAGAAAATTTCTCCTGTGTCCTGCAAGATGAAGTCCAGGCATACTGCTGCTCTGGCTTGCAGGCCACATCTCCCCTGTTTACTGTCCACTGGAAAAGGTTCACTGGAGGCCACATCACCCCTGTTTACTGTCCACTGGAAAAGGCTCACTGGTAGCACTTTACTTCATGGGGCACAAATAATATAATATTATACAGTACAGTAATACAGTATTATGCTATACCTATGTAATGCCATATTAATTAACCACAAACTAAGTCTGAGTTATTTACTGATGTCATGTTAATTCATCATTAATGAATAATGACACTTACTATGTCAAGTATATCTGTTAATTCCATAAACCTTTGTGAATTACTAAGGAACTACTGAAACAAGAAGTAATGAATAACACATTTGAAATACTCATTTGAAATCTAATGTTTGTTTATCATTAATGAATCGTGACGTGTCTTTTATCCGAAGTTGTGAGTATATTTGTTCATTTGCTTTGTACTTCAGTAGTAACTGAGTTATTACTAAGTATTTGTACCCCTTCAAGTAACGCGTAACCGTTTCATTAGTGACTCTTGACCACATTCTGTGCTTTTCAGCAAATCCTCATCGATTAGCTGAAGTCAGATCATCCCAGGTTTACCAAAACAGTTAATTTTACAGACGGCTTGGCAGCACAGTATACAAGTCCTATACCTACATACCATTTTTCCGACCTCAACAAATTTCTGTTTCTAAAAGTTGCATATTATTGGGGTGCTTATCTCATGAAGAAGACCAAGTAACAGGTCAATGTTTTGTATACAAATAGTACACAAACAAATGTATTTCACCATAAACTTACTACTCCAAGCCCTTTACTGCTTTTTCAATAACCAAAAAGACTTTGAAGAAAGAAACACATTCCTTTGCCAAATGACTCTTTCTGAGCTTTCCAGCAAGATGGGGTTAAACCCAGCTGTAGCTGTAATTGTAGAAAGGTTACAGCTTGTAAGATGGGGTGGGGAACCTGTTCCATGGAGGGCTGCAGTGGGGGCGGGGTTTTGGGATGACCTCTCAATCTGCCAATAATAAAACAGTGGTTCTCATCCTCAGTCCTTGGGACCCACTGTGATTGGCTGACTGAGAGGCCATCCCAAAAACCTGCACCAATAGAGGCCCTCCATGGATCAGGTTCCCCGCCCCTGTTGTAAGACCACACTCTGAATTATCATTTTTTTGCTAGCCACGGTGTAGAAAGGTGCTATATCTCTAATGGAATAAAAAAAAGATAAGAAAGATTTCTGAGCTTTGGAGGGTATGTGAAATTCACACACCAACTTTCATCACAATCAAACATGGTGGTGCACAATTTCTTTTGGAAATTCGTTGAATTGAAATTGAATGACCCATTTAATCTTAAAAGAATTCTAAAACTTTGACAGGCATCATGAGAAATACACAATCTCTTTCGGAATGAAACATCCGTAACCTTAACATCCATAGCATAAGCTAAATATCACACGTGGTTAGGTCCCAAAGAGCCACCTCGTGCAGTTAGCATAAAACGCTCGTACCAATCTGTCGTTCAATGTCTTCACAAAGACTAATGTGTGGAAACTGTAGCATCTGCTTCCATTTCTTGCTCTTCCCTTTTCTCTTACCGGCTCCTCCTGTAAATCAGAAGAGACATAATGTAGAACCATTAATACTCAGCAGTAGATGATAACACCATTTGGATTCCTTACACAATTCAGAGAAGTCTTGCGTGAATATAGCCAGCAACTTATTTATATTCCTCTGTACATTTTTCAATCAAGGAATGCATACAGTATTATGCACTAAGACCTGTAGATGTGAGAGGTGGAGGAAGGTTTTCCCATGTGGTACGACCAAAACAAGGGCTACTGTGGTGCTAATATATCATTTTGATGTTGATCAAGGGAGTCACAACACACAGGGCATGGAGCGCTGATGCGTACAGGGTGACGTAACCGTGGACCGAACTTCACACAGATGCTCCACACGTACCCAACCATCCACACAGTGCAACAGAAAATGGGATTCACTGAAACAGGCGACTTTCCATTGCTCCAGTGTCGAGCTCTGATTCTTGCGTGGCCATCGTAGGCTGTTTCGATGGCGGAAAGGGGCCTGGACACTCTGACTGGCCTGTGGTTACGTGGCTGGATGCCCTGTATGCCGTGACTCGGAATCCCCGCGATCATCAAAATTTTCTGCTACTTGTGCCACACTAGCCCAATGACTGGACACCAGCTAGTCAAATACTTGCAAGGGAAAAAACACTGATACACACCAAAAGTTAATCACATATATCTCACACATTTTCCCTTTTTACTTTTAAAACACTTCAGAGAAATAACATAATCTACTGCGGATGTTTACAGTATTTTTCCCTGCATCAGAATCCCCTCTTTTAAAAGATGTACCTAGTTTAACTTTAGACAAATGAATCATAATAAGCTGTATTTTACTTATTAAATCTATTCGAAAATTCAGGGAATGCCAACAAGCAGACCTCAAGCATAAGCTTAATACTACAAGTGGTCAGGTGCCCTAGTGCCACCTCATAATCTTCACACTAGAGAAAACTTTCATGCATAAGGCAACACATTCTGAAACACCTGGATCTCGAAAGTGAGCCCAGAACTTACACGCTTCTTTATACAAGTGCCATCTGAACAGGTCAGGCTAGGAGCACATCTGGGCAGCAGCTGGAGCCAGGGCAGCCTGTGACAGCAGCCGGGTAGCCGAGTGCTGGGAGCTGGTTTTATGAGGCGGGGCTTTGCGGGGCAGTGCGGGGCTTTGCAAGGCAGCACTTTGGGCAGAACTTAAAACACGCAAGCGGGACACGCGCTTACAGTCGAGCACCCCAAGAAGACGGCGCAAAAGCAAACTTCGTAAACACAAGTGCTGACAAATTCCCGTTTGAAAAGTCTGGAAAAATAAAAAAACAGCCCTAAAAAAAATAAACTTGAAATAAGATACAGACTGCCATACCGGCCATACCGTGCGGTGGGTCGCCGTCCCTTGCCGGCCCCCGTTGCCCTTCCTTACCTTCCCTGGCATTAAGTAGCACTGTGTTGGCTACGATGTTTTCCAGATCCATGGTTTCCTTGTCCAGCCACCGGCCAGGTCTCCAGGTTTTGTTAAACCCAGCTACCCCACGACTGTGCCGCTGTCCCCTTATGCTCCGCAGGCCCCCTGTCCGGCAGCTTTCGGGCCCCCTGACCGGCACCTTTCCGCCTCTTTACTCTTAACGCGGCCACCTACCAGCCGCTGGGCGTCCTACGGCATTTTCACGCACTGATTATTTTTTTTCTATTGGCTGTTTTCCTAAACCACGCCTTGACATCCTAATAAGGGCTAAGAAATGTTTGCCGAAATTTGACGGCTTAGACGATTTAATTGGTATAACAGTTAATAATAACTGTATGTGTGTGCATGCGTGCGCGTGCCGTCTTTACACTTGGCCATTCATTAAAAATAAAGTGAGAAAAGTATATATGTACTGCGAAATGTGACAACGTAGAACACGACTCGGGAAAGCAAAGCATATGTCAAACTAAAATAGGCGCATTACAGATCGTTTTAGTTTAAAGTTAGTAGGGGTGGAGACGATGAAGATAGGGAAAAAAACCTGCCCCATCATAGTTTGCAGTTGAGAAAGTCTCACCGTCGGCTCTCTTAATAGCAATTATTAGAAACAGAGCATCCGTCCTTCCGTCCATCAATCCATCTTCCAAGCGATGAGCAGAGGACCTAAATTTTAATTTCATGTGTATAAAATTATTATAAAATCATCATAAATTAATCTGAAAATAAACGCAAGACAACAATAATATGATTAATCTGGGCGGGGTGATGACGTTTTACCTAGATTATAATTTAATTTGTTTTAAACTATTATGAAATCAGGATAAATGAATCTGAAAATAAATACAAGAACAGTAATATTATTAATTTTGGTTGGTGGTGACGTTTTTCCTTCGTAGGCGATTTTGAAAAACGTAAATACTACGCATACATACACTATGCTATAGGAATGTCATGCAGACATTTTTCATAATGTATATACTGACACCTAGCGGGAATTTCTAACTCGACTGTTTGCATTGTACGAAAGGAAGCGCACCAGACATTCCGGTGTTGGCCAGAGTCAGCAGGCTTTCTATGCGGCAGAAGGAGCAAAATAGCACAAGCACAAGGTGGGAGCTTAAGATACAGCAAATTCAAATAAAGTGTGGACCACAATAATCACCCATGGCTGGGTGATACTGGCCCTTCATTTTGGTGATAACGTGTTCATCGGTGGAATTATGTGATTTTGAATCATGAGTTTTGATTAAGTTATGGCCTTTTGCAAATGAAATTACATGCAATGTAAACTGTTATGGTGACTGCACTTAAAGTTTTGAATATTGAAGCATTGTTTCAGACAATGCACTTAATTGATTAATTAATTCATTATTTCATGTTCTGTACTGTTTGTCCTATTCAGGGTCTCGGGGGTCCAGAGCCTACCCATGAAACAATGAGCACAAAGCAGGGAATAACCCAGGATGGGGCACCGGCCGATCGCAGGGCGAACTAACACACCATTCACACACGGGCAATTTGGTAACTCCAATTAACCTCAGCATGTTTTTGGACTGTGGGGGGAAACCAGAGTACCCAGAGGAAACCCCACGATGACACGGGGAGAACATGCGAATTCTACACACATTCCACACTGGTCTCCAGAGATGCACTATTTTAGTAGTACTTCAATCCTTCAATGACAAGTGCACTTCCCTAACCATTAGGTCACCAGTGCCCGAAAAAAAGCCAAGCAGCTAATTGTACAAAAAGTCTTTTATTCAGTGCCCTACCACCAAAAGCTCACACGAGTCCCGTTATAGACAGTGTGCTGGACATTTCCTTCCCTGAAGCTTCAAATTGCAGCACATGACCCACATATGACTCAGTCCTTCAGTGACAGAGGCTCACCAAGGTGAGAACGACTTAAAGCTAATTAGCAGGTGGCAGCTGATAACGCAGAAATACAAGTGGTCTAAATGGGTTTAAATGTTGATTTTTTTGTGCCCTAGATATCAATGTTATATAACCATAAACCATTTTCCTTGAAAAAATGTGAATTTAAATTTTCATAGGTTGTACAACATTGCTGTGGCAAAATATGATTTCATTCAATATGCCAATGAAAATGTAATTTATTTTTAGTACAGATGACTGAACATGTACATTTAATACATATGTTAAGCGTATACACGATGTCCTGATTAATAATGTACATCTCAAGGTGTGTCCTCTCCAATGGTAGCTGTTCTGAAGGGCTAATGCTCAAACAGTGGAGGTCAGGCTTGGGTCTCCTGTTTCACTTTTGCTTTAATCTGAGACAAACTTCGAACCTTTCAAGTTGCCAAGCTTGGGGCTTAGAGACAGAAAATGGCCAGAGTGTAATAAGACCAGATGAAAGGGGAGACTCACAAGAAAAGCCGTCCCTTCATCCTTTGCCAAAGGTCTATTTTTTTTTCTAATTCCGAATGTTGTTTGTTTTGCCGCCTTCTAGCTATGATGACAATTTTCAAATCAAGTTTTGATGGCTCAAGGGGAGTTTATGACATTTCATCCACTGTGTTGGTTGCACCATTCACTGGGCTGTGCTCTCTTCTCTTCCCTCTATTTCCTTTGAACATATATGGAATTGAAGCGTTTTTATTGGCATAACAAAAATGAATAACCATATTTATGTTTCACAAGTGCTGTCAAATCTTAGATAATAACATGGATTATTTTGCATACAATTTTATGCAGCATCTTAACATCTGAAATGTTCATTTTGCATGAATCAAATTTATGCTTTTTATGTCTTTACAAGAAGCTGGTGCTACGACGTCTTACACCCTCTGTGCTTCTGGAAGCTTCTCCCAAATACGGAGACAGCGTTACAGCTTTAAACTCTTATTATTTGAACTGTGTGGCCACTCCTGGACTGAACAGTTAAAAAGACACTTCTTTCTACATTTTGGTATGATCATGTGCGTCTGCATGCCCTATGGAAGACTGGCATCCCATCCAGCTTGTACCTTAGCATTGTGCGTCTGTGTGCCCAGCGACAGACTGGCATCCCATCCAGCTTGTACCTTAGCATTGTGAGTCTGTGTGCCCAGCGACAGACTGGCATCCCATCCAGCTTGTACCTTAGCATTGTGAGTCTGTGTGCCCAGCGACAGACTGGCATCCCATCCA